TATAGGACACTGCACCTGGCCCAAGAAATTCTTTGAACACGCAAGTTATGCATTGTTTCTGGACTTGAGGAGGCCTACAGTGGTGACCACTTCAGTTTTCCTGCTGGAATAGTTATGGGCAGAATATTCTGGATTCACCTCCAGTGTCTGTGGGTTGAAAGCACTAGGGTAAGCCGGGCGTGGTGGTGCATGCCTGTAATCCCAGCACTCGGGAGGCTGAGGCAGGAGGATCGCTGTGAGTTCGAGACCAGCCTGGGCTACAAAGTGAGCTCAAGGCCAGCCTGAGCTGCATATGGAGACCCTATCTCAAAAAAAGACAAAAAACAAAAAAAAGCACTAGGGTAGAGGCAGAGACTATGCAGAGCCCGTGAGAGGCACAGGCTGCTCTGACCCCTGGGCTGTGTCCCCGGTCCCATAGACCTTGCTGGACTTCACAGAGGTGACTCTTACAGCCACAAAGGCACCTTTCCTTCAGAGCAACTCAGGACTTTTGAGAAGGGCACAACTGGTGCCCCTCTTTGGGACCACCATAATGCTAGTGCCTTGATACCCTGTGGCATGTGGGGGAGGTCATCTTGTCAAACTCAGTGACCCGCAGCCCTCTCCATGACAGATAAGGAGCACCTCACCCTAATGGGGCAGGGACTTGTGCTGGGTCTGGGCCAGAGCTTCATGGCAGTCACTGTTGCTGGCCTGGGTCAGACACAGGTGTTCCGGTAGGTTCAGTGGACTTACGAGTCCTCCCCACAGCTGGGCCTGAGCATTGGCCCTGCCCTTGCAGCTGGCCGTGCATACACATTCAGAGTACCCAGTCTGCATATCTGACATCCCTTCTGCCTCCCAAATGCGCAGCTGTGGCTGCCAGCACCACAGAGGCCCTCCCTCACTGCTCGCCCCAGCATTCGGTTCCACTTTTTCTCTCCAAGCTGGGAAGGACTGGAAGACATAGACGTGAGACAGTCTGGGCCCCAAGTATGGCCTGAACCGATCATAATCACTGTACCGAAGAGAGGAGTTTTAGAGATAACCTCATCAGTGTGACTCTTCACCATGACCTGCTCATTGATCGCTGTGTAACAGCAGGCGGATTTCTTCCACCTGAGGCCCTCCTCCCTCCTTGGAACAACCACTCCTGCTATAGGCTCAGTAGACATTTTGATAAAGGCTTTGAGTCCAACTGTCAGGGTTCAAATCACAGATCTACCGCTTGGCCAGTTTACTTTAATCTGTGCCTCAGTTTCCACGTCTATGAAACAGAACCATAATGGTACCTATATTATGGTGTTAACATGAGGATTAAAAGAGCAGTTCCATGCCCGGTGCTCTGCGGAGGGCTGGCCCTCCCAGCCCACATAAATGTCAGCCCTTGGTTGTGGTTATTAGTCCTTAGAGTCAGGCCATGCCTTTCACTCCCCAGGAGTAATAGGGCCGTAAGGAGACCAAGGCAACAGTGTGAAATCTTGGTGACAACTCAGACAACTGCAGACATTCCTAAGAGGACAGAGGCTTTCACTGGCTGCCGCCGTGCGGCATTGAGCACTGGACTCTACAACAGTCCTGCCAGCAAGCACAAGCAGTGCCTTAGCTCAGAGGCAGAGCCCTCTGGCCCACTGCCATGGGCACCCCCAGAATGCCTGCCAACTTGTAGTCTACCATCCAGGGCGCAGCGTGGGCTCTACAGCAAGCCAGGCTCCGCATCTGTCAGACTGCAGTCTCAATCCAGACTCCAGTCAACACAAGCTGTGCCATCTTGGGCACTTTACCAACCCTCTCCTGAGTACCAGTTTTACTCAGTTTCTCATCTGTCACCTGGGGTGGTACTTGCTTTGATGAAGTAAATGAGATCACGTGTGCTCTTCAGGGCTGGACAGTGAATTCCCCCAGTGAGGGAACCCAGCTGCCAGCCACGGCAGTCAGCAGGTTCTGAATGTTTCAGGAGCTTCAGGAACAGGTGTCAGGTGGCACCAGGTAGGGCCCGCTGGGCAGGAGGGCAGCTGGCCACTGAGGGTACAGCCTCGCCTGCTTCTCCATTGCAGGCTCGGGCCCATCTTTTGCTGTGTGCCTCAGCCTAGGAGGTGAGCGTGTTGCTGTGGCCCCTGTGGGAGCTCCACCCAGCCCACAATGGGGTTCTGGACAGGGCTTCCAGGGAATCAGGCTTCCTGGCTTAGCGAAGTCTAGTCTAAAGTGAGTTGCACTTAGCTGCTTAGGGAGAGAAGGCCGGAGTCACAGGGGCCCTGCCATCATGCTGCTGCGCTGGGTGTGTCAGCCTCAGGACACAGGCTACAAAGTCAGGAACTGCTAGTCTCCATCGGCAGAGCTGAAGCCAGCACGTGACAGGGCAGAGGCTCAGTGAAGTCTCGCTCCTACCCACTCACTCCTCACATGACTCCTGGCATCTGCGCTGGACACTGGACACCGCTGCCGCCCCTGGGAGGTACATGGTGGTACAAAAGCCACCCCTGCCCTATCTCTGTAGGTTTTATTCATAGTATAAATAGTCACATAAGCAAATCAATAAGCTAGAGCGTTTGGGAGTGTGATAAGGCTCTGACCTGATAAATGAGGTGCGCATAGACAGCTGTTTTCAGGAGGTGATAAGGGACACCTCTCCAGAGACGTGACATTTGAGCTGGGATCTGAATGACAAGGGTGAATCCAGGCACATGGAAACCTGGGGGAGGAGCACACTTGCCAGACAGGCTGTCAGCTGAAAGGAGCGAGCTGGGGGCTAGGGAGGAGCCCTAAGGCAGGGTGCTGCATGTGTGCGTGTGTGTGTGTGTGTGTGTGTGTGTGTGTGTGTGCGTGTGTGTGCGCGTGTGTGTTGGGGTGCTGCCAAGATAGGCAGGCCCAGACCCAAAGGTCTGGTGACCATGGGGAAGGACTTACTCTAAGGTCATGGCAAGCTACAAGCAGAGGTTGTGCAAAAGCGTGCACCAGTGTGGGCTGCGTTTGCGAAGGCTCTCTGCATGTGAGGAACAGCTGGTGAAGAGGGCAGCATAGAAGACAGCGTGAGGAAAGGGGAGGCGTGGCCTTTTGGCAGTAGAGAAGCCGAGGAACTGGCAGGGGAATGACTGATGCAAGACTGAGAGCCTCTGACGTGGAAAAGGCGCGCCGGGCCCTTCCGTCCAGGCTCGTGTTCCTTCCCAAATACACTGCTGCTGCTGGACTGTGGCACAGACTTGGAAAACCTTAGCGTGCAGAGCCAAGGGTGGAGCCCGTGCTCCTGAACGACCCCAACGACCCCCTCACTGTCCTTACTGAATGTGGGGGCAGCAACATGCTGCCTCAGCCGTGGTGCCTGCAGCAGTTCTAGCGTACCAGTAGTACTTTTCATTGTAGACACTCAAAGGTTAAGACCACTGGGGAAATCGCAGACCTTAACTTCTATTTGTAACTCTCTCCCTTAGAAGTGCCAGAAGTCCTCCCAAAATTGAACTTTTTTTTTTTCATTTGAGATAGGGTCTTAATATATACTCCAGACTGGCCTTGAACTCATTATGTAGCCCAGGCTGGCATCAAAACTAGCAGCAATCTTCCTGCCTCAGCCTCCCAAGTGCTGGGATTACAGACATATGCCACCATGTCTCCCTGGGAGCCAACCTGTTGGAAAGTTTAAACATCTAACCATTATGAGCTCTTCTTTCTCTGAGCCCACTGAGTGTCCTCCCAGGTACCTTATCTGCTATCCTCTTGCACCCACCAACTCTACACAAAACACTTTACTGTATCCTGTTGTAGACGGAGAAACTGAGGCTCAGGGAGGTGGTCAGGCTTAAATGAGCCACGGAGCTGGGCTGGGTGCAGTCTGTCCAGCCCCCCTGTGCGTCCGCTGCGCCCGGCCCTGGCCCGGCCTCTGTGCTCACCGCACGCACGTCGTCGGGCAGCTCCTCGTCTAGCTCGCCTTTGACGATCTTCTCCAGGGTGCTGACGGCGATCTCCAGGAGTTTCTCGTGGTGGTGGTTCTCCAGGTCTCGACACTGAGCCATCGTGCAGTCAGGAGTTAAGCAAAGCCAGGACAGGGCAGTACAACATCTCCTGACCTGTGACCGGGCCTCTGACAAGCAGAGGTCCATCTCATCTCTGCTGGACAAGAAGAGACTACAGGGGGAAACTGAGATGCCAGCAGTCATTGCCTTCACAGGTATCACCTTGGTGTATCACCTACACCAAGCCCCAAGGCCATCCCCGCTGCTCCTCCTTTGCATCTGCTCTGTACCTGGTCATCACTGACTCTCAGAACTGGGTCCCCCTCACTGTCCCTCTATCACCCACTTTGCCTCACCACCTACCAGCGGGACACTGCCTGCTAGACAGCATGTGTTTTCCCGGTCATGCTCTTCCCCATAGCAGCTGGATGGAGCTCAAGGAGGTAGATACCTGGGACCTACCTGTCCCAGGCTAAAAGCTCCCAGGAGACTCTGGCTCTCTGACATGGCCTGGAATCTTCCTCTGGGAACCAGGCTCCTCTGGGCCATCCTCAGGGGCTTTGCACAGGCTGCCTTCTCTTCCTGGAATGTCTCGCTACCTTTTTACCGGGTCCCTCTGGTCACCTGCAGGCCTTCCTTTAGTATACCTTGCTCGGGGAGGCTCCTGGCCCTGGCCTCTGGGTTGGCTGCTCCTCACCTCATAACTTGGATACCACTTGATACCTTTACAACTTCTGTCTGCCTGCTAGATGCTAAGCCCCAGGAGGGCAGGAACTCATGGGCCACGAGTTCAGGTGGCAGAAGGTTGGTTATGCTCTGGATTTTGGCTCCTAATCTTAACATTTAAACTGATAAATTCATTATAAATAATTTGTCAGTGTCTTTAATGTGGATATTGCCTCTCCCTGAGAGTGTGTGTGGCTGTAGCACAGAAGCAAGCAGTGATTCAGGGGTGCCATCTCCCCACGAACATCACCTATTTGAGAACAGACGTGCCAGGACTCTCCCGCTGTCCCTCCAGGCATCCAAACTGCCACCCTAACAGGGCCACCGTTGTTCTGAGACTTGGGAAACCCCCTCGGGCCCCATGGAACATTCCTCTGCACGGTCTACGTGGTTGTCAAATCTACATCATCTGAAAGTGAGCTTTTTTCTTGGCAGAAACTGGAGGTTTCCATTCTTCTAATATCAAAGGTAGAGAACCTCATTTAACAGGATCCTAGGGTGAATTTAAATACCCTCTTGGTGGAGGTATAGATCTTTCTGACAGGCAGGTGGGGAGTAGGCATTTCTGGTGAAGCTCAGTGTGTTGTAGAGCGCTGACTTTTGCCTATTTTTGCCAGTGTGTTTAGGACTCGGTGGCAGTGGGAAGGATGGGGCAGGAGGCCTTGCAGGAGGCCAGCTGAAGGGGCCCCGTTTATTTGCATCCTGCCGAGCTCCTGAAGAAGGTTCGCTCTTCCCTGACTTTTGTTTAAAGTGCAGGGACCTCTTCCATAGCTCTGCTATAGGCCAGGACTGGAGGCCACCACAGGAAGGATATAGGCTCTGGACGTTTTCGATAAATAATCCCACCATGTCGGTGATGTTCCTTTCAAACACGTTTATGGTCTCCTGAGATCATAAAGAACACAGTTAACATGCACGTTTAGACACTTCCCACCACAGGAAAAGGTGCTGTTTAGAACTCAGCAGGTGCCTCCTCGAATCACAGACCTTCGCTGTCCCCCTTGGAGCCAAGGACCACCGCCGTGAGCTCCCGGGGCGGACGGTCGAGAACCGACTCCCTCCTCTCTCTCCAGGCTCTCTTGCTTTCCAGTACCAACTCAGTCCTCACAGCAAATGTGGAATACTGCTTCCCGGCCTCCGCTGTGTTGGTGTCTGCTGAGAACGCCTGTCCCGGTCTTACTCCCTTCGCTCCCCTTACCCCCCAAAACTCACTCCCTTTTCTGCGAGCTTCTCAGTGGCATCTGTCCATCCCCTTCAGAGAAACAGTGCAGGGAGCTGTCAAGAGCCCGCCTGCCTGGGCCAGTGTCCCGGTCTATCGCTGTGCGTTACTCTGGGAAAGTCATTTAACCTCTCAGAAGCTCTAGATCCTCATCTGTGAAATGGATTTCCCACACAGTACCTGTCTCGGGGAAGTGTGGTGGGGTCGATGAGCTCCTTCACGCAAGATGCTTTGCAAGGTACCTGGCAAGGAACCTTGGTAGGTTCCGGCTACTGCCCCAGACCTCCCACCATTTGTTGCCGCTGCTCAGTTCAGCAAGGCACCTGAGACCTAAAGAGGACTTCGTGTTGATGGAGAGAACAATAGAAATGGTTTGTGAGGTCTGCTTTACCTGCCACAGACCCCAGGGGCTGCCAAGTGGGCCAAGGTGCTGGGCGTCCACGGGAGCCCAAAGGCCATCTGCAGGCTGAGCAAATGAAACAGTCTTCACGTGTGTGTAAGGGTGTTGTCGTGAATAAAAACAGATCACCGGAAAGCATGTCTGTCCTTCCAGCTTTCTGGCCGCTGGTAAGACAAGGACAGCACACGGTTCTGGCAAGTGATGGGTAGGAAAAAGCGATCTCCCTGCTCACAAAGGTGGGAAGCTGTTGGCAGCGCCCCGGGTGCTGTGCTGCTTCTGCAGTGCTCAAGCATTCCCTAGTGGGGAGACAGCGACTGCACAGCATGTGATGGAGAAATCCAGCCCGTGTCTGAGGTGTCACTTGATGTGTGAGGAATTGATTAGGTGCTATCTCTTGGCCCAGCCACGGCAGCATCTGATGAGGTTCAATTCATCACACCACTTCCGACTCCCAGCCTCCGATGTCTGCGAACACACAAGTCACCCTGGCTGCTAATGAATTTTAGACAGCAGTGCTTTTCATTTCCACTCCTGGGTGCTGAGCTGCAGGCTCCTTGTGTCACCCGGGAAACAGTGCCTACAGCTGGGATCTGGAGGAGCCTTTGTCTGGTCCTTGACTGGGGTCCACTTTGTCTTGGGAGCACCCAGACTGCTTCTTGAGTCTAATCAAAAGGCTCCTTGAGCCTCTTCCCAGCTGAGGCTCTGGGATCTTCTAGGATGGGGAGAACATTCCAGAGGAATTATTTTCTCTCTACAAGCATCATTTCTCATCTAAATTATTAAAATATTAAAAACAGGGATTCGTGGGATAGCTCAGTGGTACAGCACTTGCCTGGCATGTGTGAAACCCTGAGTTCTAGCCCAGCACTGCCAAAAGGTTTTTTCAAACTATTAAAAGCAAACCCAGGAGTGATGAGCAAGAATTCTTCAGTGTCGTGTGCTGGGTTGCACTAGAGCAGTGGTGGTGAACCTATGGCATGCATGCCACAGCAGGCACGCAGAGCCCTCTGTTAGCATATGAGCCAAGTTGCCCCAGCAGCCAATCACGGATATTCAGGTGTACTTGCATGGTGGCACCGTGCAATAAATAAGTGAGGTTTTGGTTTAGGCACTTGGTCTCTAAAAGGTTCACCATCACTGCCCTAGAGGTTTCCAACAGAGGGGTGCCCATGGAGGCTGTAGCTTGTGCGTGCTTTTGCAGCTGTGCCCGCAGGTTCCTGCATCTGCATTCAGGGCAAGCCTCACCTCCAGCTGTTCTACCAGCTGCATCTCCAGCGTCATGAGCACGTTGAACAGCTCCGTGATGTCCTCACTGCACTCCACTATCTTCTTCTCGATGTTCAGCAGTTCACTCTCTTCTCGAATGGCACTTAGATTCTGCAAACAAAAGACTATGCTTCAGGAATCAACGATCACGTGTCATTAGTTAATAATAAGTGGCAGTTTGGTTTTGTGGATAAAATCTTGGAATCTGGGCTTGGACTTGACCAAGTTCAAGTCTCAGCTCTGACACAAGCTGCTCTGTGAGCTTGTGAAAGCTACTTGCTCCTTGGGCATTGAGTTAAAGATGACTGAAAGATGGCAGGTGCGGGAAGGGTCCTCTGACCTCCCTTTCTCTCTGAAAGCAGATGAGACTCCCAAGGGAAAGGCAGCCTTCCTACATTCCTATCACTAGACACGGAGGAGTCAAGGCCGAGAGAAATCCAGGCCATTACAAATGAATCTCGTAAACTAACCTGTGTAGTCACTTCTCCACCACTAACAGCCCCAGCCCAACCCCTCTGCCTCGTTGTTTTCACAATTTACTGTTTTTTGTCCAATCTAGCACAGTTCCATGCCATTCAAAGACATTTTGCTCAGTGACGTATCACACACGAGACAGTGGTCCCATAAGATTATAACGGAGATGAAATATTTTATCACCTAGTGATGCCATAGGTGTCTCAGTTTGTGTCAAGTACACCCTATGACATTCACACAATGACAAAGTTGCCTAACGACACATTTCTTAGGACCTACCCCCAGTCATTTAGTGATGCATGACTATACACTGAGCTTATGACCTTGCTTATTGGTGTTTTCATTTTTCTTGTCCGATGCTCCCATGTACATGTAGAAATGACTACATAAAATTTGTGAGCTAGGAGTCATGTATGGATATAGGCACAGACCTGTAATCCCAATGCTGTGACAGACACAGGTAGGGGGATCACAAGTTCAAGGCCAGCCTGGGCAATTTAGCAACATAGTGAGACACTGTCTCAAAATATAAAATGGAAAGGGCTGAGGATGTAACTCAGTGCAAAGGTCCTGGGTTCAGTCCCCAGTACTGCAATCAATAGATCAATCAATCAATAAAATAAAAACACATATATAAGTCAAATGTGTTCCTCTGCTGACAATTTTGAATTTCTGGCTGAATGCAGAGATACCCTTTTCAAGAACATAACCAGGAACAAAAACAAACAAAATGTTTGTTAAACCAATGATGGATCAGAAGAAAAACAGTAGGAGCTGCGTGACTGTCATCACAGCAGTGGTACAAACACCATTATCAACACTGTACTGGTGATGATGATACCAGTGGGACAGGTTGCAATCCCAGGACATCTTCTGTTTTTGTTTTTCCAGTACTGGGGAGCTACAAATGCTACAGACACTAGGCAAGTCCTCTGCCACTGAGCTACTTCCCAGGCCTTTTTTATTTTGAGACAGGGTCTTACGAAGTTGCTAAGTTGCCCAGGCTGACCTAGAACTTGTGATCCTCCTATCTCAGCCGCTGAGCAGCTGGAATTACATGTCTGTGCCACCATGTCCGGTTTCCAGAGGGGCATCTTATGTGACAGAGACCCACAGGTGCCCCGCCAGTTCAGCACCTGGTTGGTGGACCTGGGATGAACTTGGGCCTTAGCTTGTCATTTAGTTGCAGTGACCCTTGGCAAATAGGACAGTGAGCCTGGGCCTGAGGGGCTGGCAGCGGGCACAGGACTGGCAGCCCCTCCCCAATTGGAGGAGCTCAGGGCCCCTAGAGTAGAGGCAGCGGAACACTTACCAGCAGGTGTTTCTCTTCAAACCTGGTGATCCTCAGTTTGCCCTGCTCCTGGTTCTCCTGGATGGCCTCCCGCACACACTCATTGAAGGTATCCAGCTCCAGTTTCCGTTTGTCATACTGTTTCAGGCCATACTCAAAAATATTCAGGCAGATGATGACAAATTTGTCCTTGTAGGTGAGTGGCTGTTAAGGAAGCTCAAGGCTGTACCTGGAGTAGGCCACTGGGCGGGGCTGAGGGACGTGACAGAGTGTTGGTAACTCCCAGCCCAGCATGCAGGCTGTGTGCTGAACCCTGTGATACGACTTGCACCCGTGCTTCTATGTGGCCCCTTTGACAGATTGAGAAATTGAGGCCCAGAGAGCTAAGATTTGAAATTTGAAGCATAGCATAGGGGTTGGGTCATCTTACCTCCAACATGAGGAATTTAGTACAAGGCCAAAAGGCCCCACAAGAGACCTGGAGGACTGTGGGCCAAGGAGGGTCAGGGCCACCACTGGCCAGGGAAATGGCAGTGTGCGCTTTTGTCTCCAGTGAGTTATTCAGGGAGGCATATTTGGTGAGGCCCTATCTTAGTATCAGCTGAGCTGAGGGGACATCAGAGGGTCAGAACAGATGATCCAGGTTCAAGTGCTGGCTCAGCCACTGCTCCTGGATCCACCTGGCAAATCACTTCTCCATGCTGGGCCTTAATTTCCTCATTTGCAGTTGAGGGCATGAAAGGCTCGGCCAGCCTCATGGTGTCCTTGGGAAGAGTCTTTGGGGTCAGGTGGGCAAAGCCTGCAGGACCTTGGGTGGTTGTGTTGGGGTGGAAATGACTCATCCAGAGTCACAAGGCCACATGGGACAGAGGCAAACCTCGGTTACTTGGGGCGAGGGGTGACCAGGCCAGGCACGAGCCTGCCCATCTGACCTGGAGTCCTGTTCCCCACCGTCCTTCGCCACACTACCTCATTCTCTTCAGAATGTCAGCATTTGAGTGAATTTCTATTCAGTGTGAAAGTTGTCAGATTCAATAAAAGGGTTACCTGGGCCAAACCCTGGCCAAGAGGAGCCAGGGAGGGTCACGGAGGGAGGGGCTCACACACATAGCAACTTTATCAGAACAGCCAGCCGTGCTGCACAGGGACAGCTGGCTGCTCTCACAGTGACACTTGTCTGCCACCGTTTCAAGAGCATGACTCGGCGAAACAGCTGGCTCTGACTTTGAGGACAAGTTTCACCTAGTGACTGCTGGCGCCAGGAGTGTTGACAGCTGAGTGGCTTTTGTCTCTCCCGGCCACGTTCAGCTTTTCTTCCGTTCTCCAGATGGATCCTGGGCCATACTGTGCTACGTGTGGATCCCAAACTGCAACTCTGTTTTCATGTCTTATTACCAAAGAAACCATTCCTTTACTGGAGATCTGTCTGTATTTTCCGGGATGTTGATACCAGTGACCGGCTCGACAGCCTCACCTGGGCTGTCTCATCTCCAGCCTCTCAGATCTGGGACCTCCTCGAATCTACCCTGATCCTCAGCTTACAGTTTAAGCCCGTGGTTTGGTCGTCATGGCCGCTGTCTCCATGACCTGTGCTGATGACATCCTCTGGCCTCTGGCCCTCCGGGGAAGAACGCAGGCTCTCAGGTCCACCTTGTGAGGGTCCAAATCCTGAGTGGTTTCCCCCCCCCCCAGTACTAGGATCAAAACTAGGGACATTCTACCACTGAACTACATCCCCAGCCCCTCCTTTTCTGAGACAGGCTCTTGCTAAATTTTGCCCAGGTAGGCTCCAACTTGTGGCCAACTTGTGGCAGTTCCATGCCATGCCAACCAGTCCCTGAGTATTTCCCCTAAAATCTAGATGGCGCTGTCCCCACGCACCTCAGATGACCTAGCTGGCCCTGCCTCTGAAGTACTTCCCAGGGTCTCACGGGAGAGATGGGGACACTGAGTCCCAGAGCAGAGGAGAGGTGCTCAAGGCAGGCGGGTGTGCTGACCAGGCCCGTGGCAGAAGAGGCAGGCGTGAAGCAGGAAGGATATACTTCGAGGAGCTCGCCCACGATGGGCAGATAGGACAGCTTGCTGCCCTCCACGTCTTCGGCATACATGCTATCGAACAGGAAGGAACCGTTCAGGTTTTCGACGAACGCCATCTGTGGGTCGGAACACACTGGGTGTGGTGATTCCCAAGCTAGCCCTGAGCGGACACTGGGCAGGAGGCCCTGCACTGGGCACTGGGGCCAGCGAAGGCTTCCTGGAGGAGGGGGGCATGCTGCACTTGGGCTGCAGCCTCCTCCCAGCAAGGCAGGTGTGCGGGTCACTCAGAGGGGGGCACGTGTACAGGTGCGGAGGACGTGGTTGCAGGCTGTTCCTGCAAAATCCTGCTTACACTGAGCTAAGGGACTTCAACTGTACCTGTATGTCACAGGGAAACCACCTAAGGGTCTTAGGAAGAAAAATAGCTGTTAAGACCGACTGCTTTGAGCAGAATCTCGAGGCCCCAGGGAGCTGGGCTGGGCTGGGCTGGCACTGACCGGGTTCCAGGGGGCAGGGCAGAGCCCGGTGGAAAGGGGGTGTCAGACCTTGGGGATAGAACATGATTTACATAATTTGGGGTCTGAGGGTCCCTGCAGACCTCCACGTAACATGATCGTCCCATGCTCACGGGCATTTCTGAGCCAGGCTGGGGGCGGCCCCTCCCGCAGTGGTACCTTGTGCTCCTCCAGCCTCCCCTGCTGAGCCCGTTCTTCCTCTAGCCGGGTCTGCCTCAGGTGCTCCTGGTGCTTCAGCTCACCGACGGTGTACTGGTACTTCAGCTCCGCCAGGGCTTTCTGAGCAGGGAACAGGAAGTTGGCATCGTCATCAGCACATTTAGTCCTCCTGAGCCATGGTGACTTCTGCCACCCCGCGGCCTCTCAAGTATGAGCTGGCAGGCTGGCGGGTCCCTTTCATGGAGGTTGGGAGAGACAGGAGGCCACTGGACGAGGTCTGCCTCCTTATGAACATTTCTGGGTATCCTAAGCCCAGGGGAAATCAAAGAATGGGAATTCCTGGAGCTGGGAGATATCCGGGAGCCTGCCATTAGCCACAGCCTCTGATCAGTGGGAACTGCTCCTGGCCTGTCCGGGGAGCCCTGGAGGCTGTCCTCCTGCCTGAGTCTCACAACACTAAGAAGCCTAGGACTTGGGGCCAGCTGTGGCTGGCCCATGTCAAAGAGTAATTGGACAGGGTGTTTCAGGTATTCTTGGACCCTTTTTTTTTTGAGACAAGGTCTCACTGTGCAGTTCAGGCTGGCCTTGAACTCACCATGTAGCCCAAGATGGTCTCAAACTCACAGCAATCCTCCTGCCTCAGCCTCCCCAGTGCTGGGATTACCACCACGCCCAGCTGTTTCAGGTATTCTTGCTTTTAGAACTCTGCTTTTTAGAACCTTTGCTTATTATTTAACTTGATGATTCTAGGCAGGTGACTGCGTCACGGAAGGGACCTTTGCTCAGTAAGCAGTGGGGATGCACTACTTATCCTGGATGGGCGTATCTGAGGATCTTCTGCTTTGGTACTGCACAGTATTAGGCTCTCCTGTGTTTTTATAATGAGCAAAACACATCAAAACAGGTCTTCGGCCTATTCTAAGCATTTTAAATTACTGCTTACATGAAAAAATTAAAGAGTTTTATATATAAGTACGCATGCCAACCAACTGCACCACTGGCACTCCTGAAAAATTAAGAGTTTTACAATTCAAACTCGATTTTTTAGACTGTTGAAAGAGAAGAGAAAGCCCATCACAAGCAGAGGGGCATCTCTCTGACCTGATGTTGTCTCTTTAAACCTCCAAGGAAGAGCCACGGGCAGGGAGCGCCGGTCTTCCGGCTGGCTAGCTTCCTGCCTCGTAGGCTCCCGGAGGGAGGGCCCCCAGCGCACGGGGAGCCTCGGGCAGGGAGCGCCGGTCTTCGGACCGGAAGCTCACTCCTGGCCTCGTAGGCCCCAGAAGGAGGGCTTCTGGGGCACAGGGAGCCACGGGCGGGGAGCGCCGGTCTTCCGGCTGGCTAGCTTCCTGCCTCGTAGGTCCCCGGAGGGAGGGCCCCCGGTACCTGGGAGGCCACAGGGCGGGGAGCGCTGGCCCTTGGGCCAGCCCCCAGCCTAACAGGCACCTGGGAGGAGGGGCTCTGGTGCACAGAAAGCCACACGGTGGCGAGCGCTGTTGCACGCCAGCCCTCAGGCCGGCCACCGCTGCTTCGTTGAGAACTGCCATGACACAGAGAAACACTGACACAATTGGCCCACCATGCACCGGCTACAGATGCCCACCCACAGACGTGTCTGAATTATTCAAACATGGAGAAACCCCTGGGAATACATGCCA